ATTTGGTACTCCCCCACCCAGTGGAAAACATTGATAAATGTATAACTACCGGTATATACATAATGTGTTAGGCGAAAAATGTTACATCCCTGATTGAAAATTTTTGATATGTATGTTGTGTATCTTTCATCATAACAGGAATGTCGGTTGTCACACTAGACATAAAATTCCCGATTCGCAGCAAAGAAGAAATATACAACAATATAGAGATATCTTGGAAGACAATCCATCTGTCAAAGTCGCAGTCATTGATCACATCACCAGTTCATCCGCCATGGTAATGCCAATTAAAGAACTCATAGTAGTTTGTCAAAGTAGAGGTGTACAAGTGATAATAGACGGGGCACATGCACCTGGACAACTACGACTAAATCTGGAAGAGCTTGGTGCTGATTATTACATCGGTGAGTTAAATAAGAATATTTGGTCTGAATTAAAGAGGGCATGTCGTCTTCATGTTTTCATTTTTGTGGGTTTATGCCATTAAGAAACCGAAAATGCAAAAAAAAAATTGTGATATTGAACAATTTGCTGCGAAACAATGTGCCACAAATTTGGTTACTGTGGTGAAATTACTTCTTCATCTAAATTTAGCTGGGTGACTTTGGATGAAAAATTGTTACCGTAATTGCTCTATTAGATCATATTTCTTCATATATATATACATGTACCAAAAATCATTAAAATATTACTTATTTTGACCATAGACACTCCCATCATTTATGTAAGCTCAGGCACTACTAATAGAGCATTTTCAAATGAAAAAAATATGTCGAGTTTTCAGTGTGATGATATACATGTGAAATGAGAAGTTCTCTCCCATAATGCAATGCATGCCTTTATTCGACTCGTAGTGTCTACAATCAATATACAAGGTTAATTTTATATATTTTTTTCATGGCCAATCTTTAGCTTCTAGATTTTCTGCTTTTTCAATAATATTAACATATTCAAATTATATTCAAAATGTGTCACATGGGACTCACACTGAACATTATGTCCTGTGATGACTGGTGCTTAAAGCGAGGAGAGTCGTCACCTGTGCATGTGAGAGATGACCATAGTGTGTCATTGTTTACAACCAAATATCTACCCATGATCCTTTGTACGGTTAGTGTACATTGTTATTGTTGATTGGAACATACATGTATGCACAGGTGACAGGTAACGACTGTCGCTTTATGTCATGCTGAAATTAAAGTTGAGGTGCGATTCAACAGTATTGAAACTTAAGAGATATATAGCACCTGTATGACACAGCAAAGTATGCCTAAATTTTTATGGCTCTTACGTTTTTTCTTGTTTGCTTCTCTAATTTCTTGTCTTTGTATAAATATTTAAATATATATGCAACTCACACTAGTGACATTCATGATGACATCTTGAGACAGATGTTAATTGGCCATGTGGAGCCAAAGCTGAGGCTACATAGATACTCCACATTCTCCAAACAAAAAAGGGGGAATTGGTCGGGTTTTTTTAAACACAGAATGTCACAGAGTAATTTGGTCGTTTCATTCCTGCTTACTGAGCTTGGATGCTTGTATCATTTGTGGATTCCGGATTTGCTATTTGTTGCATGTAATTATAAGCTTACCTGTGTTACATATTCATTACTGTGTCACTCGCCTGCACTTGTTGCATTAACGGTACTCCACCAATATTCACGCACTGAATTGGAGGAACTGTGGCTACTAGTTTATCTAGTAAACTGTCACATTAATTACATTCTCACTATTTCTGTAGATGGTATCTCGCCTCAATTTCCATACTCTGTATGGAACTGTAATTGTATAAACAAATTGTAGATTTGGGCTTAATCTTTACCTATCAGTATATTTATAAATCTTTTCCAAATAGAGGGTGGTCTTCGCTTCTGATCTAGTGGCTAACTACAAATTCGGCCTGGAGAGGGTGTAAAATTAGTAACCCAATTGGTTAGCATTGTTACCATAGTGACGAGAGAACAGAGAACTAGCAGAAGCAGTTCTACTGGTTCAGTGTGTGAACATTGGTAGAGAGAGATAATTATATGGGTGTAAACAGATCTCTCCTTTTCTCCCAGATCATCTGCCCATATTTTCTTCTCTTTCACTTCATCAATCCGCTTGAAACACAGCAGTATCTGTTTCTCTGATCATCAATGCACCTGTTTATATTTTTACATACCAGGTAATTTGCATAAGTGGATGTTTGCTGTCCGAGGGAGTGCGATATTATGGGTACATCCAAAACACTACAAGTCTATCAAACCACTGATTACAGGTCACAATTATCAGCAAAGTTTGTTCAATCAGTTCTTCAATCAGGGCACACGTGATTCAACTCCTTATTTCTGTGTGCCAGCTGCTATACAGTTCTACGAGGAGATTGGTGGATTTGTAAGTTCACATTACTTTTCTTCTCCATCACATATAATATTTACAGGCATAAAATTAATTTCAGTTCTAAACATTAACATGTATTTACTTGGGTAAAATAAAAAATTGAAAAAGAAACCCCTAATAAGAATGATTGTGTCCAGGAGCGGCAGTTGTTAGGATTGAAAGTACCAAAACAACACCGCTTTGTTCTAAGGCAACTGATATCGATCAAAATTTATTTCGGGTTCTACTGTAAAGTGCTAGTCGGCAAAATTTTGTTTGAAGGTCTTGACTTGTCCTGTAAATTACTTTATTTTCACTTGGAATTTATTTTCGCTGAAGGAATGAATCTGTATCAGAAGTTACTTGCTAATAGTCAAACATCAATAAAGCAGTTCTGCGGATTAAATTTGTGATTTAGTTTTCACCATCTTCAGTAATACTTTGTGTTTGAAGGTGGACTATATTACAAAATTAATATTTAATGTAAAACATTTCCATTAAGATTAGTCTGAGATGCACCTCAGAATCTTGTTTCCTGTACAGCCCGTTCAACTCTGGTTACCGCTGCATTTGGGCAAACATTGAACCAGTCACTGGTAGCATAGTGGTTGTTGCTTCAGACTCGTGATCAATAGACCCAAGTTAAAATCCTACCTTAGGCTGAATATCAAAGGATCGACCCCTACCCTGGGTGAGTGTGCCACAGACTCAATAGGAAGGCCAATTCCACTGGCCGGGATTCATTCACTAACGAATGCGACTTTGGGGGAAGCTTGGTTAAGGTTTGCAGGTGCTTGTGTTTGACCGAGCCTGTTTGACGCCAGGATAGCGCATTAAAATTGCCACACAGCCCTGTCATGTAGTCCCAAACATGAATATGACTTCTGTGGCAAAAATGCACTATGTGTCAGCACTAGCACTTGCAATTTGCACATACAAAAAAAAGGCAGGAGAGACAGCAGTGACACTCAATGTCCAGAAAAATATTTAAAAAAAACATTGAACGTTATATGCTTCCCTAAGTTAGTGAAGTTAAATTCAGCCAACTCTTGTACCAGAATATAAACAGCAATGCATGATGGGATTTGTTAGGGAAGATTTTTTATATTTGATTTTTGGTAAATTTACAAGGAAATGGGCGGAGGGCCTAATTCTGTTAACAGTACAGCTGTAAGATGCTTATATGTAACCTTGTATTTCTAAATATATTTTATTTTTGTAGAAGAAAATCACCAAATACAACACAGAATTACTTCACTGGGCAATGGAGTTATTGAAGGAATCATGGAAGACAGAAAGTTTTCCAATACCTGACAGCATGAGGGCGCCCTTTATGGGAATTATTGCTTTGCCAGAGACCAGTAAGGGACCTATAATGAATACAGATTCCAGGGGAATTGCTCAGCTAGTGGACAAAATTTATGAAAAATACAAAGTTCATGTTGTTATTGTATATCACCAGGAACGTCTCTGGTGTCGTTTGTCAGCCCAGGTTCACAATACTAAAAAAGATTACCTGAAACTGAGAGATGCTGTATTAGACATGTTATAGACAGTCTAATCTCTTTTCATTG